GTATAAACTTTTATAATATAAGAAACAGATTTATATACAAGTGATAGAATGCCTGTTAAGACTACCTAGTGAGTGACAAGTACCATGGTGATACCATGGTGACCTGTGACTTCTATCTACTGCACTCAAATACAAATTTAACCACCACCACTGAAAAAATTATAAGGATTCAGCTGTTAATTTTTTCCTGTTCCTGTTTTTCCCTAGCCAAAATAAGCATCCTGGTTAAAATCACAATTAACGTGAATTATGGATGCACCTTGCAAACTGTTAATCCTGCCATAAATGCACTCTGGGTATTCGAGCAAAGCTACAGCATTACTTTAAGCGCTGACTGAAACATGACTGTGACCAAAATTAACTTAACATAAACGGTGCCACATTTACCAGATCTAACAGGCATCCGATCACTTGCACAGAAATCTTTTTCTTATATGCGTTTATACAATCCTGAGAATGGTGACTTTTGTCATGCTTCACCATGTTGAAAACGAATGCTGATCAGCCTGAGTACGCATAACGTAGCGCCACCTTAAAGTATACTCTGCTTTAACGGCTATTTTCCTCTAAATGGGACCAGAATTCACAAAATGAAAATCATACTGATTAGAAAAGGACTTGAAACTGACTATTGAGATCATAAACTCATTAGGAAAGTGTTTACTGAGGTGTTTACTGAAAGTGTTTTTTTAATTGATGTCAGTTAAAAGTGTTTAACTGAGGTGGGAAGCTTATTTTGCCAGTATTTTTGATGGAACTGTACTTTTGCAGTGGAGTCACCCCCTGCTGGCTGTTAAATCAATCATAAGCTTCTGATAACATATTTTTTATTTGTTTTGAGGTCGAGGCACTAGTACAGGTGACTGGCACAGAATATCATCAGATTGGACAGTTATAATGTCCTAAGATCCTTACAGAGTGTGTGAAGCAATGCAGCTCACTGTAAATATGCTGCACATACATTAGTACACACATACATGCTGCTTCTACATTAGTGTACCTATCCATTGAAGGGCACTTACAATGAATGTGAGTGTGCTTGGACACAAATGGGTCCTCTGCTGACCGCTAAGCAATTTACCTGCACTTATCCCTCCCTCTCCCTCCCTCTCTCCCTCTCTCTCTCTCTCTCTCTCTTACGGAAAGCCCGTAACGCCAAAGATGAATGGTTGTATGAACATATCCCACCCCTCCCACAAGAAAGCCAATCATCAGCCAAGCTGGGAAACATATTAAGACCATCGTGTAGTTCCACTCATGTAAGTGCACAGATGAGGTTTGCGACAGTTTCAAATGTTGTAGTGGCAGTGAGGAGCAGTGTGTGACCAGATCAGATGCACTTCAGTTTCAATGTCATCAAACTTTTTTAACTTTTTTTTTTTGCAGTTTTAATGTCCCATTGACCAGTGAAAGTGCAGTTATGGCTCTCTCCCCATTCATTTAGTTAGGGGCCTGATAGCACGTTTGAAATAACTGCCCGGAGGTGTTACAAAGATGGCTGCCAAGAGGCCGGGGCTTACAGTCTATGCTCTACATAGCTCACAGGTGGGACAATACCTGCAATGTCTTTATGATCAAACAGTTGCACAGAAGAGGTCAGTCCAAGTAAATTATTTTTATTTTTAAATTGTTTTTATTTAATCTGCAATAAAGAAGCTGTAGGCAGACACATTTGACACAACTGGAGGCAACTGACAAATAAAAAAGTAAAATAACATAATTACAGAATCTATATCTGTAATATTCTCTATAAATCAATGCCCTATAGCAATATCCTGGAGTACCAATCCCTGGATTTCTCCTTGGGTCCTCCATAGGACTCTAAACCAAATGATCTTCACATTGTTTCTCAACTGTATGCCACCTCAATGACACTAATTATAGGTTCAAATTAAATTTCCAGTGAGCTGATGTAAATCAAACAAAAGGAGCAAAGTAAAACGGGAAAGGTTTATATTCTGCATGGTGGGTTGACATAATGGAAAGACATTACTGTATGAAAGGCCTTTCAGAAGTGATAGAAGCAGCATTGAAACATGTACCTGACACCCAGGACCTCATCATGGCCAGTGCCAGTTCAATTTATTCTAAAATCAAAACAGGCCACTGCAACACATACAGTAGACCTTAAGCTTCCCAATTAGTCAAACATATACACAGAGAAAGCAGGAAATAAATCTCAGTGAGGCAAGTGGTAGAAAATATACATATAAATTTAAAAACAGAAAATATACAGATGTATTTATTACACAAAGATTGAGATTTCTTTTATATCTTGAATGAAATCAACAAACTCTATCCAAGGAATGCTTTAAGAACAAGATAAATTTGGAGGAAACTGCTGTGTTGTCAGAAACCCTTTTCTCAGGCATGCTGCCAGCCAGCTCAGGCCAGAACATCCCATCATACAACTCTTCAATTTCCCCCTCATAAACTTCTAAAGAACACACTCCAGCCATTTGGCCATTAGCTTTAAATCAATCAGATCCTTGTGAACTTCCAGACCAGAGTGCACCTCATAGATACTTCATACATCCTCTTCACACACAGCCAGCTCTTTCTCTTTTCCAACCTATTATACTTTCTATAGAGAACACAAAAGTATGGGCATGCTGTGTGTGTGTGTGTTTTTAATCAGCGGAAGGTCAGCAACACAGCTCATTAAAGTAATGGGAGTCTCACAGTCTCTTTATTTTACTTGTCTCGCTCTGTCTCACCAGAAAATGACTCTGGCAAGAGAGAGAAGAGAGGGCATTTCAACCCCAAATAATATTTCAACTGTTTTTTTTTCTCTTCCAAAACAGACCTCCCACTGGTGGAAGCTCAGCTTTGCAAAACAGAGACATTTCCCTTACCATTACCAACCTTTTTATCTTTCTGTTATTTTTGTCATGCCAAAGTAAAATAGGGTTCTGTAAAAGTATACACACAGTGTCACTAACTACTAACTGTTGTCAAGTCAACTCATGTCAGCAAATCAATATCCTGAGAGAGAAGTAACTGAAAGACACAACTCCACACAAGCAGCCAAACACAAGACTCCGCTATCATAGTAGAAAGGCCAAGAAGAATGAAAGAATCCTTGTCTAATAGAGGCGTAACGCTGGCTTGGCAAGGGATTAATATGGAGGGGGACAGACTACAAATGAGTATGAATGTAGATGCGTCATTTTTACACAGGAACACGTGGCCAAAACAGATCAATTGAAGTTGCTTTTCCCATGAACATAGCGCACATACTCAAGGAGACATGTGTGTATCAAGTGTATATCACATGCCCTTATATGGAGTGTGCATTGGTTCCAAGCCCTCCAGTGAACACATGATTCTGCAGATAGTCTGAGTAACACAGTTGTTCTGCCATCTGGACCAAGTTCCTCCATTAAAGAGAAAATTCATTAGCTTAAGTACTCACAGGGGAGTTGCCATGCACACATACACTCTCAGGTCTGCCATTTGCCATTAAGAATGGTCAAAATATGCAGAAGAATGACGCTCAGAGTATGATGAGAGTATAAATGAAGCCTCCAGTGTGTGTGTTTATGTGTTTGTTTGTGTATGCAGAGTGTTGTAGCATACACCATAGGTTTCCAAGGGGAGCTTTTTTGAGATGATGGCGCTGTTGGCACACCTTGACTACTGGGTGCAGTCCAGCATGCATCAAGGATGGAGACTGTCTCTTATACTGTAGCATCAGGAAGAATCTACCAAGCAAACTCTTAAACTACATAGTGTTTTTATAAAACACTATGTATGTAACACATGCAGTTTAGTCTTTAACGGACCAAACTGCATGTCTGCTCTTTATATAGTGACTCAAAATGAGCTTCAGCTGAAGAGAGAGACAGGAAATGCAGGAGACAAAGGGGACACAATGTAGCAAAGGGCTGCGGGCCGGAATCGAACACAGCTAACCAGCAACCAGAGGAGCAGATTCTTGTCATGAGAAGAAAACTTAAGACCCTGTCAGAGTGCCACTGTTACCAAATGCACAAAGTGTTCAAGGCACTCTGGGCAATGAGCAGAGGACAATGGAGATAAGAATCCCATTTTTTCTTTTGTCACTATAAGAGCGCAGATAAGCAAGTGTGAACAAAGTAAAGTATATTTGACTTAGATTGGACAAAACACAGTTCATCCAGATAAGATAGGCCAAACAAGGCCTTGGTGCATGTTGACAGCACTCGGGGGTGAGCCAGAGCAGGACAAGGACCTTTTCGGTCAACCCTTCATTTACAGGGAGGTACTATTTGACGTGTTGTAAAAGCATCATTCAGTGTCCATTTTGTTAAACTATAATTAAACATGACATCTGGAAATTGACCTTCTAATTGACTGACCGTATATGTCCGACTACTGATTTACCACAGATGAATGAGGGCTGCTATACTGTTCTATCTGTTTTACATAGTACTGATGTGACTAAATTCGAACTGAATTATATTTGACAAAACACACTGGGCCAACTCAACCACAAAATGAGTCGACCTGTGACCTGCAGCAAATAAAATGAGCCATATTTTCTCTCTTGATACATACAAAGGCTATAGGCTAAACAGTGCAGTGAGAGTAAGGCTGCCATTCTCTGAGTGAGACAAGTGCCTCTACACAGCACTCAGACCCACTCTGTCCATAGTGTTATCGATTAAAAGGTAAAAGCACACACCCCAGGGGCAGAGGGAGGCCTCACACATGGCTAAAGTTACCCTGTGTGTGTGTGTGTGTGTGTGTGTGTGTGTGTGTTTGTGTGAGACTGAGATAGATAAAGAGAGCGAGAGAGCGAGGGGGGGGGTTACCATGTCCCACAGTTGCACTAGTAACCCAAACCCTCAGATAGGACTGCAACCCACTCAAGACCAGAGGGAATGGGCACTGCAGATATAAGAATCAGCTCATACACACACTCGTACGCCCACACCACCTTTAAAATCTGTGAAGTCAGTTTGTACTGTACCATAGTCCCATTATTAAACCAACCAATCTCAGAGAAAAGTGATTACCTTCCCCTCCGACAGGCTCAAACATCCCAAACTGCTCCAGGACTTTAATGAAGAGTCCCATGACCACCAGCACAGCAATCATCTCCAAGCCATCCAGACTCAACATCTTGGGAGACCGCTGTCTGTCATCGCCCAGCACTGCGCCACCAAGCCAGATCGGGTCGAGCCGGGCTGAGACCGACTAGCAACACAAGACCTGTCCAACTGCACCCAACCTGAGCAGTTTGTCCAACCTTAGCCCAGCGTAGTCGTCCTCCGCCTACTTCCTCACTTTGATCCACTCTGATCTACTATTCTAACTTGAAACTGATGATTAAAAAATTCTGTCAATTATAATGGAAACAGAAAATGTCTCTTCTTTCACCCAAAACCTGGCCTCAGTCAACCTCTTTATCCCATGGTGAAGGCCATACTGCTGGAGCTACAGGCTGCAACACAGAACTCCAGATTGTCACAACACCTGGGCTAAGTGAAAGGATTTTATTTTCCTCTCCTCTCCTCTTTCTTCTTCCCGGGCCCCCGTCGAGTGATGGAAACTTAGGATGTGCTGTGCCTGCTAGTCCTTTGGCAGTGGTTGTCAGGAAGCGAGCGTTGTGAGGGGGAAGAGGGAGTGAGTGAGGGAGAGACAGCAGATAAAGAGAGGGGGAGAGGATGAGTGGGAGATGGCATAGAAAATGAGACAGAGGGAGAAAGCCTAACCAAGAGAGAGAGAGGGAGTGGGCCAGACACACACACACAAACACACTCATACAGAGTGAGACAGAGATTGTTTGGGGGGCAGAGGAGGGGGTGAGAGAGTTGAGGTATGCCCTCTCTCTCTCCAGTTATATTACCTTCATTGATTTGCCTAATGCAGTTTCCTTGGTAACTGGAAGAGAGTGTTTAAAACCAGATTTAACTAATGGAAAGAAAACATATTTATGTTAATCTGAATTCAAGTCTCATCTCAAACATGTGTGTTCTCTGTATGGTGACTGCTGCATCTGTTGCCTGTATGCCTGCCAGTCTCATTCCCAGGTTGTCAAATATGTTTTGTCACACCCCTCTGCGTCTCATACAGATGCACAAAGTACCCTTTAGTGTCTAGATGAGATGGGCTATATGACTGGACTGTTTAAAAGCCTTTAGGGATTCAGGTGAAGTAGTATTAAGTGCAAGAAAGTTGGTCGTTGGGGTGGATCGTTATGTCCCATGTGAACCCAAAAGTCAAGTATATAATTTTAACGATACCTAAGTGATATGACTTACTTACCTAACTTACTTATTTAAACCCAAACCATTATCTTTTATTCTCAAAAGGAGCTTTGTTGCCTAAGACTAACCAAACCGCATTAAACACGTGTTAAAGGTTCAGTGTGTAACCTTTAGTGACATCTAGTGGTGAGGTTTGCGAATTGCAGCCCCTTCCCCTGTCCAAGCGAGTTGTATAGCTACGGTGCCTGAGATAGGACAAAGATGTCATCTATGAGATAGCAGAGAGTTGCCAGTCAAGAATTGAGGTTTCTTTAGATAGATATATTAAGAAATTATATTTACTTAATTATTCAGTAAAACCATATGTTTTCTTGAATATTATTACTACTTGTTCATTAATAAACAACAGCCACATCAAGAAATGTCTCATACTCCTGTAATACAGTATTTTACAACTTGGGAGGGTTGGCTCATTTGGACTAACATGCCAAAGTAAATTAAGAACATCTCAAAAACTATCACATCTAGTGCATCCAAGTATGACCGCTGACAGATAACAGGACAATGTAAGGTCACTGTTTCTGCACCACAGTACATTATAAACCACATAATACATGAAGTTTACAAAGGCATTGGCTGATGAGGATCAAGGCTCCTGTCACTTTGCTTAATTAGATAAGCAATCTGCAAATCTTACCAAAATGGAAAACACAAACACAAAGTAGTACTGACAGCCATAATTTAGCTTGTGGTAAAATGGTGCAACGTTTTTAATGGGCATTTAAAAATTATTTGTGCGCACAGTGGGGAAGCAATATCCAAAAAACACGTTTATTTAATGCAAATTCTGAAAGTATTTATTATTGGTCACTTGATAGGCACACAGTCATGTCATATATCACCATTAGCAGTAAAAAGAAAGACATGTTTTCCACCAGGGCAGTAAAATGTGAAGTTTAGCTACTGATCTGAGCTTCAATGCTGTTTCATTACCAATAATATTCAGCATCTGTTTGTCTCAGGAAGGTAACGTCACATTTCTGTCCACGTAACAAAGCCACAGAGGCTGGAGAAGAACTACATGAAATTACAATCCAACTACATATTTTTTCTACCAGCACAGTAAAAGTTTACCTGGCTGATCTGAGCTTCGATGTTGGAAGCTGTCCTTTTAGTTATTAGTGATCAGCTGATTGTCTCACCAATGTAACAAAACAAAAACACAGCGCTGGAGAAAGAGATTAACTACATAAAACTAATCCAACAACATGTTTTTTCTACCGGGGGAGTAGCTGTCTGATCTGAGCTTCCAGCTGTAAGCTACCGTTTTATTGCCAATTAGTGATCAGCCGATTGTCTCACCAATGTAACAAAACCAAAACAGAGCGCTAGAGAGAGAGATTAACTACATAAAACTAATCCAACAATCAGCCGATCATACATAAAATTAATCCAACTACATATTTTACACCACATGCCAAAGCCAGCGCTAGAGAATAAACCAATGCAACTAACCATACATGATTTTTCTACAAGGGCAGTAAAAGTTTAGCTGGCTGATGCTTCCATGCTCTAAGCTAACGTTAAGGTTTCATTGCTAATTAACGTTACTGATCAGCTGATTGTCTCGCTAACGTAACCGGCAAAGCCAACCCACATGCTGGAGAATAAGTAGGCGATATGAAATTAATGCAACTACATATTGACAGGGGAAACACCTCACCTCTCTCAATGATTATAGCCAGCTTCTAGCAAAAGCTTCAAACAACAGCTTTCATTTGCATCGCTAAAGTCTGACAAACTTAAGTTAATTATCTGTCCAGCATAAAACAGTCAACTTCAGCACCGCTTTGAAAACATCTGTCCCACATTATAGCCTTCCATCTGGGAAAATCCACATCCGTGATTTCTGCTGTCAGCTGTTTGTATCGGTCCCGGTCTGGCTTCATGGTATAAAGATCCACAGGCTGTCGGCTCTTGTGCTAAATAACACGTGTGTGCTCGTTCATTTGTCCAAATGTCACTTCTCTTCTTACTTCTAATAAACCAGAAGACTACTCAGAGACTGTTTATTCATCCATCCATCCATCCACCGTCAACCACTTATCCTGCGTACAGGGTCACGGGGAGACCCGAACGCTGTGATGACGAAACGCACTCTGTAGCGTTGTTTGTTCGGCTACGGTAGAAATATGACAACAAAATAGGGCTACCTCCATAAAAGGGGGTGCCCGCGGTTATGTAGATAAAAATGGCTTATTCTAAGGTAATAAAAACACAATGGTTCTTTATACACCACTGAAAATATAGTTATGGATATTATATTGCATTTCTGTCAATGAATCCTCAGAAATATTACACACTGAACCTTTAAAAAGGCATCTCAAACAAATGTTAAGCAGTAGGCTTCTATGTGCGTCTGTATGAGACACCATGGGGTGTAACAAAGCAGCATCGGTATTTGACGACCTGGGATGAATGTGCAATGAATGGACATTTCTAATATTATAATAATATTCTAAAATTATGGCATCCTGAGTTTTACTACAGTAATTCTGTATAAACCAATAGACCTTGAATGTATTGATGCTGTGAAGAGTGGTAGGGATCTTTTTGCAGAAAGAAAACTTTTGGGCTGTGTCTAAAATTGTTCACTGTTCACTACATATAATGTTTGACTCTGTAGTGTTCTACTGTAAATGTATAGTGAAATTTGTTGGCACAAATAATTCCACAATGCAATGCTAGAAGTGGTGTACAATTGTTGGTCACTGACCAAGAGCTAACCACTGCCTTGCAATATACAAAACAGCTGGATAAGAATACAGACCTGAGTAATGTTCAAAATATAGTTTTTTGAATCTAACATATTAGAAAACCCTAAATAGGGAGTAGTGAAGACGTCAATAAGTGATTTTACACACAGTAATGACTCTACCAGGGAAAACAACACTTGCACTTTTGCCCTTTCACAATTAGTTGATAGTTTAGATTAGTTGAAAATAATTAAATAAGGGGTTGTATGAAACTCCAATGTTACATGTAATATTTTCTTTGGAAACTCCATTGACTGAAAAATAAACCTGCAACAACCTTCCCCTTGATATCTCAGAATAATATAACAATGTAGAACTGGTATAATGGTGAAAGTCATCATCGTATAATCAGGCCTCCATTATTTCGCGATGTAGTGATCACAACTATTAACACAAATTCAACAAATCCCTGTGGAATTCAGTGCGACCTGAAATTTTGACCAATCATCACAACTATTCCGTAAATTTGACCTATCATCGCAGTTTCCTGCAAAACGTTGCAAAACGTTGTCATACGTCAGCAAACTCACTTCCTAGTTTACAAGACGCAGAAGACATGTGTGATACCAATGTCTCGCATTTGCCTACAAAAAATAACAGTTGTTACTGTTGTATCCCAGTCAATAGCAAGCGCTGAAAGAATAAAGGTAAGTTGTTTTTAGTATGCATAGTTAGGGTTAAGGTTAGTTCTTCTGCAAAATCCTGGAGGGACTGTTTAATGATTCAACTATAATTTTAAAGTTGAAACAATCACATTTAGTTTTGCAGTTTTTACTTTCCCACAATTTCATCGCAAATAAACTCCCCAAAACATCGCAACTTTCATAGCAATTTTTTAGAATAGCTGTTGCAAAATCAGGCATTTCCGGCCGCAACAAAAAAGGTCTGCAAAAATTCTGAATACATTTACATCACTGTTGTTGTTAGAGACAACATTCAATCACTAATAAGATCAAAGGGCATACTGTCACTATTAGCAAATAGTTTAATTTTAAAAATATAAAGAAAATGGAGCCTAAAAGAGAAACCATACTGGGAAGTAAAAAATAAAATGGAAAAATGTGGTTTAAGAAAAAAACTTAGCAATTCATTTCTGGACGGTCCCTAACTGAATGTAGAATTGCTAGTTTTAAAAGAGTGCAAAGTACAAGAAGATCTGTTACAGAAATATATAAGTTTCTAATTAGATACCTTTTATGCTTAGCAGCTGTTGTGAGTCAGTGAACCGGAGGCTTTTATACCCGGTTTCCCAGATTTAATGTCTTTCTCACCTTTTTTCTAATATGAATAAAAACTGTTAATGCCAGCAGAACAACGTTCACCTTCACATCGAAGGAGGCACTGAATGTTTCCTTAGTCAAACAGTCCAATACCGTCTGTCAGTCATCAGGTGAAGTTGGGATACTTAAAGCATAGACAAGAATCAATGCAGGCTGCTACTCTTCGCCACCATCCGATGTTCTTCCCCTCCCAGCATGACTCC